ACAAAACCTCCTGAAAAGTTGGTTATACAGATGAAAAAGCTAATAAAAATACAATTAAGATAAACAGTCGTATAAAAATAAATAAAACTCTGAATTAAGTTCATTTAAAAATTTAGCACAACAATTGGGAGTAAATATTTAATACATTATATTGTTCATGGAAGAAAAGTACTAAGAAATTTATTGGTTTAAAAATGTCATTCTTTAACACTAAAAAGTGAAACAATTTGTTTTTTATTTGCAAGAAAAGATGCAGTTTCTGTCTGTGACCACAAGAGAGCAGTAATGTCTCTTTTGATTTTATTTCAAAAGTTCTTAACAAAACCTCTTGAAAAGTTGTTTATACAGAAGAAAAAGCTAATAAAACTACAATTAAGACAAACAGTCATTTAAAAACAACCTCTGAATTAAGTTGATTAAAAAATTAGAACAACGATTAGGAATAAATATTTAATACATTATATTGTTCATGGAAAAAGTAATAAGACCTTTATTGGTTTAAAAATGTCATTTTTTAACACTAAAAAAGTGAAACAATTTGTTTTTTGTTTTTATTTGAAAGACAAGATGTAGTTTCTGTGAGTGACCACAAGAGGGCAGTAATAAAAACCGTTTCTGTCTCTTTTGCCATTATTTCAAAAAGGTTTTGACAAAACCTCCTGAAAAGTTGGTTATACAGATGAAAAAGCTGGGTACTCATGAGAATAAAACTGGGGGGGGGGGGAGCAGCAAATTCTCTGGGGGGCATGCCCCCCTGGCCCCCCCTGTTGGCACCCCTGCTAATTGGGGGAACTAATTTCCTGATTAGTGTTTTAGGGCTTTTGCTAATTTTAGAATTTATTAGTGGATTAGCACTTGCTAAATTTAGAAGCCAAATTTAGAAGCACTAACTGAGGTCGATAAATGTTATTGATCAATGTTAATGTTAACAACTGACGGTGAAAGCTGTCAAACATTTTATTCAAATGTGTGTCACTTATCCACCAGGTGACAATGAACCCAAATACGGCTGTGGAATGTCAGTGATAAGGTTTAAGAGAGCAACATGGCAACATGTGACTCGTGTTCACAAAAACATGTACAGTAGGTTGCCTTCAGGCCCAGGCCTCCCTGGAAAAAGAGATCTGCGATCTCAACGGGACTTGCCTGGTAAAATAACGGTAAATAAATAAATAAATAAATAAATAAATAAATAAATAAATAACTTTTGTCTGTTGAAGGACGTTTGTGGGTTGACTGGGTTATTTTAGGGCTTTGGAATTAGCTTTTGCTAAAAATTTCAGTGCGTTAGTGCTTTAGAATTAGGGGACCTAAATACTGGAGTTAGTGTTTTAGGGCTAGTGGAACAAATTTTTAGATTAGAGCTGCCCACCACTGGTTTTATTGTTGTGAGACAGGATTATTTTTATTTACTTTTCATGTGTTAATTTTCTCTACAAGATAGCATTGATAATCATTTCTCTCTGTTTTATTTCACTGATCATAGTTCTTAGTGATAAAGTAAACAGTACCTAAAGCTCGACAAAAGATGCAGCTTCATTTGTAGTTGGTCATATTTGGTTTCTAAAAAAATCTTTTTTTTTTAATTCAAAAAACACCCAGTAGCCTACACTGAGCTTTGGACTCTTGCAAAGTGAAGAAAAAAACAGTAAAACTCTGTCCTGGAAATATATTATATAATCCTGCCTAACTGCTAAGTTCACATTACCTTGACATTATCTGTTCTGTATCTCTTTGATAACTGCCACATTTGTATAATCTGTTCTCATGATTCTTAAATAMGCCATTTGATGTCTACAGACCTTGCTCTCATTTCATATTACCTGTATAACTTGTAATCCTTTCATTGGTCCTTTGATATCTCTGTACCATTTGTCATGTTCTCACGGACTCTGCCCAGAAGTATATTAATGCATTTCCTGTCTGTTGCTAGTCAGTGCACTGACTTGACTGAACTGGCTGATTCACTCTCTGGTTGCTACTCACCTTGCATACTCAAACCTTATTAAATCTGACGACCAAAAACCACGCAGTGCACTTTCCTTTCATTCACATGTTTCTGCCTGTAAGTGGAATATTTCCATGACAAACTCCATGAAATTCTTTGCAGAATTTAGAGGACTAAACAAGCTTTATCTTTATTCTCAGCAGGCAGCCTGAGGATAAAAAACACCCTGTCCTTGCCCAAGTGGCTTTAATGTGCAAAATTTCATTTTTACTCTTTATTTTGTTAACTAAATATATCTGGTCTCTAGAGATGCTCATTGTCAGTCTATGATTTAAAAGATTTTGACTTCTGGAGTCAACGCAGTTCAAGATGGCTGACATGAGCTTTCTTAACAAACACAACAATGATAATAATTCTTTAAGTCTTATTTACAGATGTGTTAAATTTATTGTGAAAACAGGTGAGACTAATCCCTCAACACATGCTTAAAATATTATCAGACTGAAAAAACAAACTTTAAGCTTTGGCATATTAGAGGGATGTGAAATGTATTCCTTTAAGGAAAGCTTGTTGAACCAGCCACATTTTTGGTGTTTTTTTTTCTTTTCTTTTTTCTTTTTGGGGGTCATTATTAACAACATACAATATGATAACTTGTGTGTGAGTGTGTTGTGCACTCTGCTGCATGGTTTCCTAACAGAAGAACTTCTCATTCTGAACAGATGTTTGCAGGGAGCTGCCTCCGTTTCTCTGGTGACGTTTATTGCCTAAAGGTCAAAGGTGATTCCAGTCAATTGTTTGAGCGGAGGGAGGGTTCCTCCCACTGAGAAACATTAAGACTTTATCTGCTTCAGCACATGCAAGACAATTCACAAATGTGCTTTAAATTTCTGTGTGCACAAATATATATTTATTCTTTTGTATTTGGGTCAGATCATTACAAATACGTACAATTTGCTTTGTAAACTATGTTGGTTAAAAAAGAGTTATTTTTAATGTTTCCAGTGTTTGAACTAAAATAAATCAATCAGCTGCTAACTGCAGACTGATGGATGACAGCGATGTCGCTGTCTTCAGGGACCACTTACATCTAGGTTATATATACACACACTATATTTGTCTCACATTCGTTTTGGCCAATAAAAGGAATTTCAGATCTGTAAAACAGACTGTATCTACGTATATTTCCATACCACCTCATGAGGAACCACTGCTCCTTATGAGGCCCAAAACCTGTGCCCCATAAGTTCAAATGTTGTTTATGATTTGAGGGTTAGTTAAGGACTAAAGTTAAGTTTCCGAGTAAGAGTAAGAAATTAATGGAAGTCAATGGAAAGACAGGGCTGGGCGATAAATCAATGTAATCCATTAATTCGAATTTGCCATTTGTAAAGATTTAATTTTAGGAAAATCTGGATTTTTTTCCCACCAGTGCACTCTTTGGGGCTTCTGTAGTTCAGAGGTCACCCCACCTGTCCCTCAAGATGCTTGATACATGACATGACAATATAGCAGCTATAAACAGGATCTACTTCCAATAAAGGCAGTTTCTTCAATTTTCTGGAACTGGTTATGTTTTGCAACGTCAGACATGATACACTGCAAAACCTGAAGGCTCTTGCTACAAATGCAGGAGTACAACAAATTTGTTTCAACACATGAAACAGAGGCACTCCGTTAAGTGGGAATCAAATCGATTAAAATTGAATTTGGGATGAAAAAAATCGGAGATTTTTTTTTATTTTTGGGCAATATTGCCCATCCCAAGAAAGACCGAGATAAAACGATATGATTTTGTGTGTGTGTGTGTGTCTGTCTCTGTCGCCAAACGATCTCCTGAAGCACTGGACTCATTTCCATGAAACTTTCAGAAAGTATTCCCTGGATATACTTCCACAACTCATTCCCTTTTAGGTCAGTTCAATTCAACCAAAGCAAATGGATATTAGCAAACACAAGCATGGTTATAACCCGGTCAGTTTTATAGATTAGATCAAATTTGATGTGGTGGAAGCTTGAAGTGTGTGTTTGTGATAATTCTTTAGATTGAGATCAATGTCTACAGCACATTTTTCAAAATAAAACAGTCTTAGTATAAAAATATGAGAGGTGGTGCTTTAATTTTGATTTTTTGATTTTCATTTGTCTGAAAGAGCTTTCCTTTGAAATGAAACAAAATCTTGTATCTGTGTCTGAATGTGGCTCTGCTTCTCATTCAAACGAGGAAACGAGAAGCAGCAGAAACCGTGGAGGTCTGAGCTGACCCGTGGATGGCCTCTCGGGGTTTTGGGTTCTTCCAGGAGGTCATCCTCTGACACAAGCCTTTGTGTTTCCCCACACAAAAGCAACTCGGCAGTTTTACAGTGAATCTGTCTCCCGCAGACTTATTTCCTGTTGCCCACTAAAAAAATGCCTTTTTTTACACCTTTATGTTAAAATAAATAAATAAATAAAAAAATAAAAAGAAGCTTCCCATTGGTTAAGTCACACTCCACCCTCCGCCTTCTTTACCCTTGTTTCCCGGGCAACCATCAGGGAGGAAAAAAAGAGCAAATCATGTGAGGGCGAAGCATCTTTTGCCCCCCCGCCCCCCACTCCTCCTCTTCTAGCACTTTGTTTCTGTCCTTCTCTGTCTCACAGCGAGTGTTAAAGCCCCTCAGTGCTGTCCACGTCTGAGCTCTGTCTCACATCGCAGAGCGGACAGGACTCAACGCAGGGACGGCTGATACACCAGAGGAGGGAAGAGGAGGAGGCTGGAGGGGTGGTCGTGGTGCTGGTGGGGGATCCCCCCACCTCATTGTGTGGCGGGTCTCCCTCCGGTTTCCCCCCCTCTCATCGGCCCACTCAGCAGCTCTGCTTGGACAGTGTGGCTGCTTCGAAGCAAAATGGGTTGTGGCAATTCCTCAGCCACCAGCACCTCAGGAGGAGGTGAGTGATCCAGGAACCTCTCTGTTTTTTCCCTCCCTTCAAAGTGATGGGTGTGTTTCTATGAAAGTAAGAGTTGCATGAAGGGGACAAGGTGTTTGGAATGTAAATGAAGTCTGGTGGGGGTAACCCTCACCGCAGACGTAGCCGCTGCTTTCTCCATTCATGAATTAACGTTTGCCCACCCTGTCGTCATCTTTATGGCTCAAACTGATAAATGCATGTCTGGAAGAATTTGCAGCATCTCCGCTCCTGTGTTGCATACAGTAGACACACACGTGTGGTCCTCTGAATACACAATCGGTGGGTCAAGCTTGAAGGGTCTCACGGAATAAAAGATACTTTGATACGCCTTGTGTTGGTATTTAATTTTTTTTCTTATTTGGGCTTTAGAGAATAAAAAGCTTCACCCATCCTTGTCCTCTCCTCTTGAAAGATGCTAAGTGTGTTCTGAAAGCAGGCTCGGCTGGAATACTAAAAATCAATAGCAAAGCTTCATTCATAAAACCTGAGGGATGGATAGCAAAAAAAAAAAAAAAAAGAAAAAAGAAAGAAAGAAATATGCATTGCCTTTTTTTGTCCTGCCTTTTAATTGTTTTCCTTTCATTTATTTAACCCTTATCTTCACAGAACACATGTTGCTCACTGTGGTTCAGACTGACACAATGCTTAAATTATAGTGAGTAAATCTCCAGGAACCACAATCCAATCGAGGTAATAATTAGTGTGAAGAATCCGCAGAACTACCTCACCGCCACTGTCCATTAAGGCGGTGTGCGAGTGTGTGCGTTTTGGGCTTGTGTAAATGCGTGCAGGTATCTAATCAGTACTTGCCAGGCGTGTTAACAGAGCCGGTCACAGCTATAAATGAGATCCACTTTCAGGTTACGCTGCCTGCAAACAAGTAGATTTATGAGCACATGAAGCGCACAGGTTTCATCCTCTGTTTTTCTGCTTCTTTCCATATTTCCTGTTTCAACATGATGCATGAAAGCGTGATAAATTAAAAGTCTAGCATCATGCTCGCCGCTTTTCATGCCAGAGTTTTAGGCTGATAAGAAGCTATCTTTCAAACCTTGAAAATATGCAATATTGTGCTCTGAGTGTGTTGTGAATGACTCTCAGCTACTCAAATTTTAGCTCATTAGCTCTGAAACTGATGTTTTTGTAGGGGCTGTTGCTGCCAAATGTGCATTTTTGACTCCAAAATGATGATTTTTCCCCCTGAAATTTTAAATAAAACCAGTCAAGTGATTCATGATAACCAAAATAGGTAATGATGAAAATTTTAAACAGTCTTGCACAATCTGTCAGCACTCAGAATGTGTGTTGTGGACTAGTCGCAGCTTCTACCACACCAAGTTTTAATGCAAAATTGGCTAAATGGACTGAGTTCTTGTATCATACTCACACTTAAGAAGACTGACCCCTGTGGTTTGAGCGAGACACCATATTGGAAGGGGCACAGTCAGTGTAAACAATTTATCAAGGCTAGATTTTTGCGAAGAATTGCATATAAATAAGTTTTTCATTGGTTAGCTTGTGCCTTTTTAGAAACATCAATCGTTGCAGACGTTTGTACATTGGCAACATGTTTTTACCTGATATGATAATATGTACTGGCATTTCCATCAAAGCAAATAGTTTCATTGATGTGCTGACCTAATTTTAACATCTCATACAGCCACTCTCTCTGACCATGAAACAGTTGGATCCTTGTTTATTCGGACATACCATTTAGAACAATGCATATTTTTCTACAGTTTCATATTTAGAGTTTAAAAAATGTCTAGGCTCAGTATTTGTGTTAAGTGCTGCCATTAGTTTGAAATATTTTTTCTGGGGAAACATAAAAAAAATTAAGATAAATCTGAATGTCCCCTCTGGCTGAGGTCATTTATGAGGCCTTAATGTCAAGTCGGACAAGAACCATCTTGAATTCTTCTCAAGTGCAGCGCAGGCAACCAATCACATTGTATATCACATTGCTCAGCCTAAGTCTTCTGCACGCAGGAGTGCGGCCTCGGACATGAATGAGTTTTTGTCGGAGAGCTGAAAAGGCCCTTTTGTCACGACGGCAGACCCAAACCTTCATGGTGAAGAGCCGTTCCCTCAGTAGAGATTAATTTTCCTGCATGTTTGTGTGTAGCGTACAGTTTCCAGCACATGTGACACGACTTCTTTCATGGAGACTTTCTGAACTTCTACATGTGACACAAAAGCAACTGAAGAACAAAACTGATCTTGTCCAAGAGGGAAGTAAGATCCCTTTATTCAGATGAAGGCTGTGAACTCTTCAGAGCTGTTTGACAGTGAAAGAACTGTTTACAGCTGATGGAGCATGTATTAGGTTAACCACAGTGGTTCTATTTGAAATTTAGTGATAAAAAAACAAACACCAAATCCTCCTGGATCATTTCTAATGGAAATACTGAGTGCTGAATAACTGCTGAGGGTTGCTGAAGAAGCTAAAACTGAGTTGTTAAAGCCACTAGAAGAAGTTGAACAATATGAAAAAGCTAAAATTTAGCAATATGCCAGCTAAAAGTAGCAAAAGGCTAAATAAAAATAAGAAAAGGGCCAGCTAAAAACTTTAACTTGCATAAGACAGAAAAAGAAACCGTGTGCTGAAGGAGATTTAAAATAGAACAGTAAGATTTCAGTTCTTTAAATACAACATATATATGTGGAAAACATCTGTAAATATAGTTTACTATTTGGAAAATCATAAAAGTAGCCTAAGGAAGGACAAAGTCATAAAAAGACAGATAAACAGCATAAAAGAAAAAAAGGCACCTGCTATTATTGGCCTTGCTGCAGGTGATCGAGTAAGATTGCTGTGCAACTGATAACAGGTTTCAAAAGTGGTGTGGACCACCCAATGAGAATATTGCATGTGCACTATGGCTGTCACCATGGAGAGCTTGGGAGAGCAGAGTGCCTTAATTAAATTTTTTTCGATATATACGTATATGTGTGTGTACTGTATATATACATCCATTTTCTGTAT